AACTATGGTTCGCGGAGACTGCCACCCAGTCTACTCGCCTGACGAGCTCAAGGCCGTGGAGGTACTTCACAAGGCGGCAAAAACCATACCGGACAAGATGGCCTATCGGCTCGTTCGCCTGGCGAGGTGTGTTCTCTCATTCGTTTCACTAGGTGAGCTCGCTCAAACGAGAGTACTTAGATGGGGCTTCGACTTTGTCTCGCGGTACAAGCAGCAGCTGCGGCAGGGCGGGTACATTTTCGATGGACGTGGTTGGCTCAATGTGCGATAAATATTGTCTCCCTCACAAACAAAAAAAATCTTATACGAGAAATGCATTTACTTATCCACACCAACCCGAACAGAATCTTGATAAACTGTGGCTTGAAGATATGATTGATGAGATATCATGATACTGATTGGTGTCCGCGGGAAATCACACCGCATCCACGCAAACTCCGTGTGACTCACCCTCCGTTTCCCTCTCCTCAAACGAGCGCTGGCAACTGCAGCTGTCGGCACAACCAGGAGAGTGGTGTATTCGTTACTCGGCACTGACGCAGGTGCGAAAAACACGCACGGGCCTCGCTTGCTCTGCATTTATTCTCATGTTAGCGTCGCTCATTGATCACGCCCGATAGATATTACAGACTTTTGCATAATGGAGTGCAGTCGTGATTTTGGATTTGTGTGACAGCTGCCACCTGTTTTAGGCTGAAATCAGGCATAAGGGGGATCGGAAAGGCTCGGGAATGTCAGCCGATGCCACACTTATGCCAAAAATCAATCAAAAATGGCGAGAAATCAAAAATCGGACTGCATTCCATTATGCAAGACCCTGTAGGCAGGGGCGGTGTCGCGAGCGCATCTGGAATGCAGTGATTTGCTCACTGCTGGGGTCGATATAAAGCCGTGGTCGGCTGCTTGTCGTGTCAACTTTCCTTCCCAAACTAGTGCTGGCCAAATATAATTATATTATTTTATGGGCATAATATATTATAATCATATCATATTCAGAGCTCCAACCCAATAATATATTTGTAGTATAATATAATCATATTCAGCTGTGAAATATGAATATGTTATGAATATATTCAACTATAATCTAGTATGCATATCTCTTGATATGTTTCACATATTTGCTGCTAGAAAAAGGAATCAAAAACATAAAATACATGCTGGATTGTCAGTGCAACTTCCTTTTGGGCCTCCCTGGGTTACATAGGACTCTCAAAATACAATCAGGGGCATTGTCACTAGTCTTAGGTTAGCCAGTAGATACTTGATCAGAGGTCCTACACTATGTTTAATAGGTCAACCCAAAGTGATCACTCCTGACATTTGTTCCTACTAAGGGTAATGTATGAATCACCATATATAATAGATAATATGTGACATTTATCAGAAGTAGGGCTAACTCAGACTAAGATTAGTACTATGACTGAGTACATACACTGAGAAAATAGCTGTAATCATCTACCTTACTATAGTTGAATATTCTGCGACTATAATATAGTATAGTCATAATATAATATAATATATTCAAACATAATCATATTCAAGTGATCCACAAAGTGCATAATATATTCATAATATTCTGAATATATTCAATATTTAATCAAGCATAATATAATTCTGGCCAGCACTATCCCAAACCACCCCGGCCCTCTACCACATCATGTCTGTGTCAGAACGCGAGCCGCTGCTGGGCGATGGCCACAAGACATGCCCCGTGACCGGGAAGACGGGCGACTCCGGCCACGAGTTTGTACCCCCTATGGAGGGCGACGTGCGCTCTGTGTGTCCTGCAATCAATGCAATGGCGAATCATGGCTACATGTGCGTCGCATCTTCTCTCCTTTTGTGCTCTACTGACCTGACCGCAGTCCGCACGACGGGAAAGGCGTAACGCCGTGGATGATCTTCCGGGGGCTTCGCGCCTGCTATGGGCTGTCTATCCCGCTTGCCCTCACGCTTACCGGCGGGGGGTGGTTCTTCAACAAGCGCTACTTTGGGCAGGCGATCACGCTTGTTGAGCTCGGGCTGCACAACGGTGTTGAGCATGATGCCAGTGTTGTCCATGGGGACACACCCGTCCCCCCGCCCGTCGTTGGCCATGACGGAAAAGTCACCGTCAACACTGCCCGCAAAGGGCTGCTTGCACCCGTCGCCATCATCCCCGCCCTAGTCGAGGAGTTCATCTCCTCTATCGTGAAGCGCGCCAGCCTCGAGGCCTCCACCACGGAATTCGTGACCCCTACTACCCTCCCTGAATCTGCCGTATTGATCACGGGACACGATATCGTGCAGACGCGGCTCCGGCGCGAGGCCCAGTCTCCGCCGCTCGACCCATTTCACGCCGAGCTTGCACGAGGGGAGATGTCCATCATCCTTGGTGTATGGGAAACCCAAAAACCGCTATCCCCGTTGCCCAGCGGATCACCGATACCTGCGCCGGGTATCCCGCTGCCGTGGATGCGCCACTGGCTCGCGGAGGAAAGGCTGCCCGACGGGTGGAAGCCCACGCATGTCCAGGGTCTCCGAGATGTGATCAGGCGCTCGACAGCGATGCGGAAGGAGATGAAGGCCATCAGGGAGGGCAAGTAATTTGGTTCGACTATATATCTATAATCTAGGGTAGCCTACTTAGGCCCTACTATGGGCTTGTAAATATTATAATTCATCTTGCCAATTGAGCTGCGGCTTTGAAGCACGCCGTGTTCGCGTCCTGCGCCTGCGCCTGCGCACAGGTGGAGCTGATTGATTAAATCTGCTTATATAACATGTTACCCCCTCCTTGCACGCCTCGCTCCAACGCTAAGTCGCGCTCGCTCGCCAAGTCGCGCGAGGCCAAGGCCATTCTAATATAGGGCTCTGAGCCGTGCACGGACCCATAAACAACGTCATGTGAGCACTTTTGTGCGTCGAGTAGCGGGCGAAAATTTGGGTTTGGGGCACTACAAAGAGCGGTTTTTCGGGCAGACATGGTGGCAGGGCACTCAGAGTCAGGCTCGGGCTTCTCGGGTAGGGGTCAAAGCCATAGATTCAATATTTCTATGAGACACGCTAATTAACAACGCGTCGCGACGCGTCTGATCGCGTCAAATATGCATATGCGCCCAACTGCCTCTACCCGCACTCTCCTTCCAATGACAGCGCAAAGGCTCCCATCCAACGCAACTCCCTCAGCCCTCCACAGCGCGCCGTCCAATTCGTAAGTCGTTCCTGTACAGTGAAAAATGAGCTCTTGACTGCCGAAAAAGTGCATCAACGCCCTCACCCGAGTGACCACGGAATGGCATCATCAAACGCGTCCGCGCACAAGTCCCGCGTCCTCCCCGGCCTGTCAGGCCAAGCCGCCGCGCTCCTTCCCTCCCCGCGAGCGTCGCAAACGACGAATCCCGTGAATGCCGCTGCCATGGCAAGTGACATATCCGAGTCGGCGCGGGAAGATTTCGGTGGGAGGGAGGGGAACGAGCCGGAGGGAACATCTTAGCAAGGTTAAAAAGTACACTATGACATAAACTGACCGTCAATCGGGAACCAGTCATGGTGAGGGACCCGCAGCGTGACGGTAGGTGATGGCCGGGTGGCGTCCCGCAGGCGTGATATCAGCGCAAGAGAAACGGCGGACTGGATAGCCGGTTAGGCCGTCGCGCCGACAAAGTTGGAGCCGAGAGCCCGGCGGCACGCAGAGGTCGGGGGTAGGATGATCTGGACAAAGATGTCAGCAGGAATAGAAGTCAAAGATAACATGAACCTACAATGGCCCAGCAGCAACAGTGGCGGATCCAGTGTGCCGAGCACATTGAGAGCCAGGCCGTGATTTTCGCCTCCGGCAGCCCGGACCTGCGAAAAAATGAGCTTTGAATCGCAAAAAGAAGGGGTCAAGATGCACCTGAAAATACCATCAAAGTCTGATCCGGCGATCGGCAGCCGTGGCAAGCACTGTAAATGGGGTGAGTAAGAGGACGAGAGTTGGAACAAGGAGGCAACTGACCCGAAATGATGCGCCATCAACAATGACTGGGAGGTATCAGTTGGTATTGGCGGTGATGCACCGACTGATGCGGCTGATCTTGTGTGATGGCGCCGATGAGGGTGGGAATGGCAGCTAAAGACAGAGCTTTGCGAGGCCCAGAACCATGTTGAGGCTCCAGCTATCAAAGCCTGGGAGAAAAAATGAGCATGTGAGGGTCAGAAGAAGCGCCGAGATCTGCTTACGTAGGTTGAAGTGATGCGCCGTCAACGGCGGCTAGGTCCGCGGGAGGCAGCGGGCGGGAAGCAGAAGCAGAAGCAGCGGCAGACAGCGAGTGCTGAGGACCGGCGCCGCCGCCAAAGGAAGGCGCCATGCCCACATGCTAACCAGATGGCAAAGCAGCGCCGATGTGCATGAGACATTGATGCGCCGACTGATGCAATGTTGGGGCGGCCGGGTGATGGCGGCCCAGGTGCCGCCAAAGACAGAGCTTTGGCTCTGGCAACGTTGAAGCCCGGAACAATGTTGGGCCTCCGGCCGCCAAAACCCTGAAGCAAAAAATGAGCATTTGAAGATCAAAATGTGCGCCGAAATCTGCTTACGTAAGCATCAAATTTGATCCGCAATCAAAATCAAAATCGCCCATTTCTCGCTAAACAAGTCAGTCTACAGCTTGAAAAAGAAGATCAAGACATACCACGACCAACAATAAGCTGTAGCGTCCCCACCAGTATTCGGCCAGAAGTTCCCCGGGGAGTCGTTGGACCATCCGGAGTAGATGCGACAAAAGACCTATCCAAGGCATGTGTCAGCAAAGTTAGATTCAGAACGCAAAGCAGCATACCAGTATGAGTTCCGCGTCCGACAGAGGTTTCCCATAGCTTCCCGCCTGCATCATCGTCGCCCGCAGCGGTGCCTCGTGCCCGCATTGATTCCGTCAGCAGTAGACGCAACAAAGAGCCTTGTAAAGGTCAACGACAACAGACTCAGAAGACCAAGGGAGTATACCAGCATAAGTCTTGTGTCCGAGCAGAGGTTCCCCCTACCACCATCGTTTCCCGCTCCACCGGCGATGACAACGAGACAAAGAACCTATCGAAGGTCAGTGTCATGGATGAAAAGGAATGCATAGAACTTACGAGCAGAGGTTCCCCAGACATTCACGCAGGTGTGGCCACTAAAGCTCAAGGTCAGCCTGAGCTTTCACACCCCAGAAGGCTAACAAAGACTTACCAGCCCTGTACGACAACATCAATTCTGCATACTAGTATGAGCAGAGGTTTCCGACACGAGACCGGCGTGGGCTCCTGCTCAAATGGCACACAGACACTGAAGAACCTGTGCAAACAGGTCAGGGATGCCAGACGTAAGTGGCCAAACAAACATACATACAACTCTCCGCGTACACCCATGGTTGACGGCGGCGGTGGCGGTAGCGCTACAACAGCAGCGATATTGCCGGCTGGCATGTCGGCACAGTTTTTCCATGCAGAGATTCCAGGTCCAAAACCGACATGAGACCGCTGAGCAAACAGAAAATCTGGAAATTCTATGAGTCGAGATCAAAACCAGATATATTCGGACCGGTACCATACCCCCCATCGAGAAGGCCCAAAATAAAGGCGGGACTCGGAATCGATAGTCGATAGTGAAGCTGCGAATGGGGGGCTTCTGCGCTTCACACAAGGACAAAATCTGCAAGCTGTTAAGTCAAGGTCGAGGAGAGGAATTGCGACCATAGTACATACCTCGGGCGCAATGTAAGCACGCAGGGAAAGCCTAGAGAGAGTCGGCGGAGCAGCTCAGGTGGACATGCGATCGCGAGTGCGCTGTCGGTTTCTCTGAAAGGCGAGTCAAGCATTTGACTGACGACAATGTGAGAAGGGAAAAGATCAAGCAAACGGCCAGACTCACCGCATTCAAGTTGGTGGGCAAGCAGCCGCAACTTGAAGCTCAGGCTCCTGCGGCGTAAGATGTCGAGGTGATATTCAGAGTCCAGCGCACCAGACACAGATGGTTCTGGGGAGGGTGTGAGGAGAAAGCGAGAAGTCAAGAGGGCTTGCGGACGTACCGGCACTTGAATGGGCGCGCGTTGAGCATCGCGACGGCAAGCAAAGGTAGTGGTGGAGTGAAGACAACCAGTATTTGATGTGACGGTCAAATCGTCACGTCAACAAACGAAGCTGCGGTCCAAGGGCGGAGCGCACGTGTGGAGGGAGTTAGAGTGGTGAGTTTGCGTCACTGTCCCGGCTTGCCCGACATGATCGCAGGTGTCGAGAAGTTTGCGGGCATGGTGCGGAGTGGAGGTGATAAAGCGGAGAGAAAGAAGGTGTGTGTTCTGAAACTTCAAGTTACTGCTTGGGCCAGACTGAGCCAGGTGGTAGCATGAGGTGGGTTCCAGCCTGAATGCGACTGCCAGTGGGTGATTGCTACTACTTATGATGCTTTTTCCCAGACACTGACGGGCCGCGCTACCCCGACTCGGAGACTCAACAAGCTAGTTGTGGCGCCTCGGGGAGCAATCGGGCGGCGGAAGAATGTAAGTGTGGGCGTCGGTAGTGCGGTTAAAGAAGGGTTGAAGTCATGCACGTTGCGAGGTTAGTGACGTGCTTGTGGCAGGCGGGCGTGGGATGGCGATAAGAATACCTGAGCGACTGGTCCAGCAAGTCTTCCTAGCGCTACTGGTGATCGTCTGCCCTTGATTTGCCCTCCAGCTGTTCTACCTCATTGATTTTGGCACTCCATCATTTCCATTGTTTTTGGTTGCAAAATTCTCACTTGGAAAAGACCTCAAATGTGCTGAACACGTCGGATACTCGTATAGAAGTCCCCCCTCCCCTTGCTTGCATTCCCTCTGCGGAGAACTTTGCAAACAACACACAATTCCCGATTGGGAAGTTGGTCCGGGACCCCTCGGGCTCAGCGCCTTTCTTACCGATGCACAAGTCCATTTCAGATAAGTTCTGAATATACTCTGCCTCCGTCTGCCGAGAGCTGTCCGAGGCTTATCGCGGGGCGGGATACCATCCAATTGAACACACACATAAAACAAGCATTTTGTGGAGTAAGTCACGCGAAGTGCGCTTTGAAGGCCGATTAAGGTGCCAAATGGATATTAATAGATTTTCTGTGATGCTTTGGGCCCATCAGGCAGCTTCGAAAGTATAGAATCGTACGATCTGACCACATCAATTTCCGCAAACCAACACATTAAGGGAGCTTATCTTACCAACCCGCCGCACTTTGTCCACTTGACAGGTGGATCCTGTCGCCGCCTTCGATGGACATACTTCTTCTCCCGATGACGTGTGGACATCCCCGAGAAGCCGCTCTTTGGCCCCACCGCTATAAGTTTGTTAGCTTCCACCATCTTCGCAAAACCACACTCTCCCTTTCCCCCCCATCTGCCTTTCCACCACTCCATCCCTCCCTCCCTCACAATTTTCCCCGGCATCAACGTCGCCCTGCTCGTCGTCCGCTCTCCTCGCTCGCCTCCGGCCCACCCGGTCGAGCATCACGTGTGGTTGACTTTGCATTCATTGTTGTCATCGTTGTCGTTGTGCTGACCATCATGTGCAGGCCGTTGCCCCCGTCTCTCTCTCTCCTTCCCTCCATTCACTGGTGCATCCCTGTCCACCGTTGCCTCCCCTCGCTGACTTGAGGGAAGCCGTAGCGCAGACGATGAAGCCTAGGACATCGTTTGCGCTACGGCTTCCCTCAAGTTCACCAGTGGATGTGACTCCCGTTCTTCATCATTCCCTTGCTGACCGTCATCCACAGGCAGATTGCCACGCGCTTTAAGTCCGTCACCGACTGCTTCTGGTCTTCGACCTCATCGTCTGTCCCCTTGTCGTTGTCCATGCAGCTAGCTAACACCGACTTCAACTCAGAGACCAGCAACCATACCACCTCATCCTTGTCATTCACAATGGTGAGCCTCGCGGTTCGAAAGGCTGCTGGGGTCAGTCCCAGCATCGCTCGGTCTCAATGTCGTTACTTACAACCTCCCAGAACGTCTCGTTTCGACCCAACATCGCCGTTGATCTTTAGTTTGTTGAAGTACATCTTGTTGTCGTTAGTGCTGACCGAGCTTGTGGCTAGAATTCGGCCACACAGTGCGTGTACGATCGACGTTGAAGACGACGCGCTTGGATTCGCGACGGACGGCGCATTCGCTGTCGGTCATTCGCAAAACTGCTGGGGTCAGTCCCCGTCTTGCTGTCCTCGATCTCCTTGCTTACTACCTCACAGAACACCTCGTTGCGCCCCGGATCGTCATGCATCTCCAGTTTGCAAAGTATCCATCGTGTTGTCGTTGATGCTGACCGAGTTCTGCAGGTCTGTGGCTGGAATTCGGCCAGGCGATGCCTTAGCGATATACGTTGAAGACAGGACGCTTGGCCTCGCGATTTGCGTCGAGGATGGCGCGCTAGACGGCGCATTCGCTGCGGGTGATTCGAAACACTGCTGGGGTCAGTCCCAGCGTCGCTCGCTTCTAATCTCGCCACTTACCACCCAGCAGAAGCTGCAGAACACCTTGTTTTGCCCAAGACTGTCGTTCATCCCCAGTTTGCGAAGGATCCTCTTGAAGTTGATATTTCTGACCGATTTTTTGCAGGGCTTTCGCTAGGAATCGACCGAGCGAGCCATCCGCGTTAGAAGTCGAGGACAGCGCGTTTGCGGCCGCGCTGAGCAGTGCAATCGCGGCTGGTACAGGTAAGACTGTGGCGGGTTTATCGCGCTGAAAGCCAGTCGTTTAGGCCCACCTTTGCGAGCAGCAGTGCCCGAAGCATCCCGGGTTCGAGTTTGCGCCCGATTGGTCTTGTATTCGCCGGTGCTGACCGAGTTTTGCAGATATCTGGCGGGACTTTGGCCAGGCAACGCGTTTTCGATGGCGCTTGGATGTGCCGTCTTGCCCGGCTTCCGAGGTGGAGCTTGGAGCGAGTGTTAGTAACCGGGACTTAGCAGAAACAAGTATTACCGTTGCACTATCTCTCGTTCTTCACCCATGAACTAACCCTCGTTCGCAGGCCGCTTGGTCTGGAGAAAGAGTCAGCAAGTACACCAGTTGTCAACGAGTTGTACCTTTCTCATGGACCCTCTTGTCGCCCTCGCATGCTGACTGTCGTCTACAGATCGCCGCGAAAGTGCCGTTTGCGATTGCCGCCCAGGCTTGTGTGTTTTTTGCTTGTTCTTGACATTGCCGCTGACCGGCGCGTCCTTTAGGGCAAGTTTCCGAAGGCGGCGCCAAGTTTATTGGTGATTCGGCATGTCGCGGGCGAGTACTGGAAGGTGTAGTCAGAGTTCCGGCCCATAGTACATAAATTTTGAGGGCGCGCTGCCGAGCGAGCAGTCGCCCGGGATTGCCCGTGGGGGCCGCGTAAGAGGCTGGCGTTGAGTCCGAACGCGGCCCGTGGTATCAGGGCGGCTTTTGGGCGGGCAGGTTGGGATAGCCAGCGGGAGGAGGAAGGACCGCAGTGGTTGCTAAGCGACACGTGCTCTCGGGCCGGCCCACCCTTCCCGACGTTGTCCCGGTCGTTGTGGCCGTCGAGCCGCGTTGGCGGGTCCGCGAAAAGAAGCAGGCGAAGAGCCGCAAGCGCGGGCGGGAGACGAGTAAGAGGTTTGTCCTACTTAGTTGTTCTTCAAGTTGCTGACTTGTGGTTAACAGCAGTCGAGCGCGACTTTTACTACGGACTGAGGGTGAGTTTTTTTTAGTGTAGACAAGCGCGTGCTTACTCATTCTGGGAAGATGTCTGGCCACGCGAGCTTATCGTTGGGCTCCAACAAGTTTACGAGGACACCTACAACTGTAGGTGAGTGCTCTGCCCCAAACAACACCAGTACTCTTCCGCTCGTTGTTAGCTGCATCTATTCGGAAAGCAGCGCCGGACCTTCTCACCACTATATCTTCGCGCTGGACAGATTTGTCTTCAAGTCGGGTTCGCTGCGGCCCGCTTCATGGGCGCGTTGTGCCAACTTGAAGTTTGTTCCCCGTTTACTAACTCGTTGTTACCAACGGCCATTTGGAAAGCGGTGCCGTACCTTCACACCCTTGTCGATGCTGACCAATTTTGCCAGGCTTACCGTCAAGTTCTCGAGGTTGTCGACCTCGCGAATGAGCGCGGGAGGCATTGCTGGGTTAATTCTTTCCATCCCCGCCGGCCATGTTGACCGCTTGACAGTGTTTTCATCAGCCGCGACCACCTGGGGGCAATTCAGCATCGCCGAGGTAGCCCTTGCCGTCGTTCTGCCGAGCGCTGACCTGTTTCTCCCCCAGATCGCCAGCAAGAGCCGGTCTTGGATGGCCGCCAGCGCAAAGTCAGTGTTTCTTGCTCCTCGAGAATGAGGCTGACGCCGTTCCCCAGCGGTTCGATCCGGCAGCAGTCGGTGTTGACAGTGGCGGTCTCCTCTGCGAGCCGAAGGGTAGCACAGCCGTAGTTAGTCGCTGGCCGCCGCCGTTTCTGGCCAATTTCTTTTTAGGAAACCATAACGGCCGCGTGCGCTAGGCTGTTCGGCCCGGCGCCCGCTTGCTGTGGCCGGTATATGGCCATCTCGCAGGTCGGCGAGCATGGGCATGGGCGGGAAGGGCGGGCGAAAGCGTGTGCGGCCGAGACGCAGCACGTGCCCGGCCGGGCCGCATTGGCGGGGTTGCTGAGAGGGTCCGCGAAGAGGGCGGGGGGGACCGCTTTGTGTCGCGCAATTGCGGTGCGGCTGGCGGGCGAGTGAGGGCGGGCGCGGGCGGGAGATGGAGGGCGGGAGAAGGGTTGGTAAGCGACACGTGCCCTCGGGCCGGTCCACCTTAACCGCGACTGCATATGCTCCGGACGACGCTGTTGCGTGTGGGTGGCGCTGTGTGCTCGCCCACACCACTTCTCTGGCGCGTTCATGTCGACAACGACTTCCAATCCGTCTGATAAATCCGTTCCTCGTCGTAAGCCGCTGTTTGCACTTGAGCTCGTGCTGGGTTATGCTAACGGAGAACATTCACAGAAACACCCGAGATGGCCCAGTCCCCCTTGAGAACGCCCGGGCCAGTCAGTACGGTGCCAACTATGGTTCGCGGAGACTGCCACCCAGTCTACTCGCCTGACGAGCTCAAGGCCGTGGAGGTACTTCACAAGGCGGCAAAAACCATACCGGACAAGATGGCCTATCGGCTCGTTCGCCTGGCGAGGTGTGTTCTCTCATTCGTTTCACTAGGTGAGCTCGCTCAAACGAGAGTACTTAGATGGGGCTTCGACTTTGTCTCGCGGTACAAGCACAGGCTTCTCCCGCCGGGCAGCGATATGACTGTCCAGCAGCTGCGGCAGGGCGGGTACATTTTCGATGGACGTGGTTGGCTCAATGTGCGATAAATATTGTCTCCCTCACAAACAAAAAAATCTTATACGAGAAATGCATTTACTTATCCACACCAACCCGAACAGAATCTTGATAAACTGTGGCTTGAACAGAATGCGCCCAATCCTGTGCACATGCCCATGGGCATTTTCCCATGGTAATTTGATGTGGGCATAACCTACAGGATGGCTCTATATATCCTATAGGATAGGTGGACTTATCCTACAGGATGCTTGAACATCTATCCTACAGGTTAACCAACCAGTCCTGTAGAAACGGTTCTCTATAGGATATGTAGCAGATATCTGTCCTGTAGTATGAATATGTCCTGTAGAATACTTATACCAATCCTATAGGATAGCTATCCTATCTGTCCTGCAGGATAGTAATATACCTATCCTACAGGATAGATACACCTATCCTACAGGATAAAGGAGACCCATCCTGCAGGATACATGAAAGGACCATCCTGCAGGATAATTGAAACAGCTATCCTGCAGGATGGTTGGCTCTCATTTATCCTGCAGGATAGAATTATGCATCCTACAGGTTACATTATGTGACAATCTGATCAGAGAGACCGCTACCATCTTGATCTTATCCACCATCTTTCCCTTCATTCTTACAACTATGGCCAGCCCACTTGCTGACATAGCCAGAAATACCGTGGCTACTCCAGTACTCCAGCATACTGTGCTGCTCTATATCTCAGTTGTTCGGCGTCTCTGGGACTACATTAAGCTGATGCATGTTCCGTGCTACCATGGAGAGCCTTTACCCTTACCACAAAACGTCATTTCCTTTCTTGCCTTGCATATTCTCCCTGCAGATGGTCTCAACAAGGAAGCTGAAGTTCAACAACTCTGGGAGATACTCAGAGACCATATTATGGAGTGGAAGGGGGTTAATCTGGATACAGAGATTAATGAGCTCTTAAGACAAAATGGCCCTGAGCATGACTTAGGTACATTATATATCCCTTCATTGATATGATAACTAAACTTTTCAGGTGCTTATATGCTATTACCCCCATATCGAACGTGCCAAAATCCAGTTTGCGATCATCAAGGTGCCAAATTAGGAAATACCTACAAGGTCCTTTGCCGGTTGTATACACTTCACAACGGAGTTCTTCCTGTCTATGATGTTGCCCTCTACTGTAGATGTAGGTATTCTATCCAACTATAGTCATATTTCTAAACCAACCTATAGACTGTCATACGCTACAGATATGCATACTCAGTCTCTCAGGCAATAGATGGCAGCTCTCAGAGAAACTATTATGAAGACTACAAACCCTATATCCATTCTCAAACCACCTCATTTGTTGAAGATAAGCTCTGTGTCTTCTTTGAAGATCTTATGTGCTCCTCCCAGTGAGTCTAATAAATTTATATATTTTTATATCACTACTCAACTCTATACAGTGTCTCTACGACTAATCTGGCAAGATCTTATAACTCTAGCCTTGGAATTACAGACACTGTTCTCCAAACCCGTCTGTCTCCACAAATACTTCAAAGTGCAGTATTAGATGCCTTCTACCTTCATGCTCTTCTGAGAAGAGCCCGTATGAATGGAATCCAATTGGTGACCTCACACCATGGAGAGCAAGATCATCGCTTTGATGATACACTGCATAGCTTTAATACTCTAATGGCAGCAACTGGTCAGCCCCAGCGTCATCATGGATGTCATGGGTGTTTCAAAATCATCCCACCAGAGGACTCTGCCAATGGCACTGCTCGTATGTCTGTTATCTTAGCTATCTATCAGTTCTCTTATTATCTTTCTAGAGTGTATTCATGGTGTGGTTACTGATGGCGTTACCATTGGTCATCCTTGTTGCCGTGTTGTCAAGTGTCAAGTTCCTCTGGCATCAATCAAAGATAAATTCTGTCCAGATCATGCTGATCTGATTGATCGGTGTCTTGTGCGGACATGTACTGATAAAGCAGAAGTTGGTCATATTACGTGTGGTAATCCCTCTCATCGTGCAAAGGAGGAGGAGCATAGCAAATCTATGGAACCTGCACTGTTGGATCTGCAACGCCGCCTTGTGAAGGGCGGTGTATCAACACACTCCCCACGCAAGCAAGCAACATCATTGTCTAGTTTACACAGAAATAACGACAAGAAAACGGGAGGTGGTCTCAAGCTTGACCTGACACGCAACAATACCCACCATGACCAACTTGCTGTCCTGCCCTGCGGTATTATTGTCGCCCGCGCAACTATGTTTCACAGTGAAGGAGTATCTACTGTCAAGGTGCGTAGACAAAGTCTATATGATATCTTTTTATATTTAAGAGTTTGTAGGATTTCTTAAAAGGGATCTTTCCTCACCCATGGCTGCAGCCTTCTCACATCTTCTATGATCATGCATGTGGTCTACTTCAGCATATACAAGCTCAGAATGACCACTCATTTGATCATGTCCGGTTTGTTGTAGATGTTTTCCATGCACGTCATCATCATCAAGAAGACGGAGATACCTTTTGCAACCAGAACACCAATCCAGCACTCTGTCCTGAACTGCGTTTAACTGATGGTTCATGGATGCTCAATTCATCTATAGCAGAGCAAACCAATGTCTGGTATGGAGCATTCCAGGCAATTACTAGAGAGATGTCTATGGCAAGGTAAGTATTTTTTTTTCTCTTATTATTCAGAACTTCATTATCATGACTAGATTCAATTTTTTCCTAGATGAAATGGTCTACCTGCGCAACGAATGGTTTCTTAGAGAACTGGAGCGCAAAGGCAACCAGCCTTTTGTAATTGATGTGGAGCATGCAAAGGCTATGTGGTTAGCTTCACATACAGAACCATCTCAGTAGCTCCATAAAGATAGTTGATCTATTAACTAAGTGTATTCCAATACTGTGTGCGTGAAACATAACTTCTACGTGCCGACTCCCGCATCTTGGCCGCATTGAAGTCCTTTGTCCGAATAGTTGTATGGATTCCTCGAGAGCGACACTTAGCATAGGTAGATGCTCTAGGAAGTACTGTCCCATGAAGCTCGTCAGGTCGGAATATCCTACAGACCATTTCAGTATCAGCCATCATTCAGACAAAACGAACCAGAAAGCATTTTCCTCCGTTCGGATGATAACACCCCAGATAGCATAAGCAAAATTAAACTCGTCATCTGCTGCTTGCTTTTTGAGTTGACAACATAGAGACCAGGTAGCATCGCTATCTGGGTGCAGTGGCGCTCCATATTCCCAGCAGTAAAAAGCATTCATACTGCTTTTACCGAATGAGTTTAAATCCTTACCTACCGCATTTATTTCCCTGACTATATGTGGTGCTATACCTTTGCGGCAGCTAGCATATAGTCGTTTACCTAGTATGGAAATTTCAGAACAGGTATAAAACAAATGTGAAACAAACCCGAGCAGCGTTCAAATATGTTGTTGCAGCCTGAGGAGTTCTGGCACTCTGGCAGGCATAGCTGCCATAACCCTCACCAGGTGCACCACCAGATGCGAGGCGATTACCGAGTAGCTTCATATTTCCAACGGCCTGTGTCTTGCTCCCTCTCTTCTTCGCATTTGCATACTCTCCAACCTCTGCATGATTTACACAGAGCTCCTCATACACATCTGGAGTAAAGGCCTGATACTGAACTGCGAAGCGCTTAAATGTGTTGTTAGATTGAGTGGTTTGGAAAAGGCCCACTCACAAAGGTACCGTCCGATGTCTGAAACTTTGTAATGTCCCGCCCACATGATTCGAAGACCTCAGGACGGCTACCGTACTCGGCAAAGTTTTCGATATGTGGGTTGCGAATCTTCTTCTATAAGGTAGGTGAGACTTGACCACAATATAAAGATAAGCTCCTACCCCTGCCTCATAGCCCACCACATCCTTTTCACTTCCATAAGTAAAAAGTGCACCTTGAAGTCTGTCGACTTGGGCTTGTGTCCGCTTGTTGACAGTGATAGTACGGATACACTTTTGGTCAGCGTCCTTGAATTGACATCCAGGGCAAACTCCCGATTCTCTGAATGCTCAGTGTCTGCAGCCTCCCGCATGAGAGATCTTCCCGATTCTTCCTTTGCTTCTTCTTTGGTGGCTGAGATGATGGTCCGTCACGTTCAGGATGGTGTACACGTCGGTTGAAAGCATTAAGGGACTGGCGCGATTGGCGAGAGACAACAAAGATGGCATAGAGAACTCCAGTTCGTTCAATGTTGAGCTCAGCAGGGTTGAGTTGGTTTAGATTTCGCCAAAGATCGACCAGATCCCAGTTATCATCAGCAGAAGGTATTCCTGCCAAGTTCTGAATCATCATTAGCACTTTCAAAGTAAGTAAGTAAATGCCTACCAAGGCCCGGACTGTCGACTGAACCCAATCGATCCAACCACTGCGAAAGTTATCCCACGACAAAAGAAGACAAGAGTTGCTGGGTGTCGACGTGAGCTGGTCTACAAAACGTTCATGACTCATGACGTTTTCGATAAACAGTTTTGCTGAAACTCTATGACCCTAGGAAAGAAGAATATAAGTCGAAAATACATAGGTAGGGCCAGCACCATACCGTATTCCAACTATAGATATCATCGTTTTCAACTCTGCCTTCTTTCGGTGTCCACTTGTACAACACCAACCCAAAAAGCGAGCGCCATGTGTATCTGCCGTTGGATGTATGAGGGAGGTTGACCTCGTGTCGTATGGCTGGGTTTGAGATCATGGTTAGCGTATCAGCTAGACCACTCGACTGAAAAGCCATAAGCATCAGCGTAGAATACCACAGCATATGTACCTTCACAGCTTTTCTCCACCATTTCTGTTGATAGATGCTCTTAGGAACAGCGCGAGCATCACGGAGGACCTCAATGACATCAGCCATCTTGACGGTAGGCTAATAGTCACTCAGCTAGGCGCAGGAGCATCGTATGAACACTTGCCTGTGAGCGAAAGTAGCCCCGTAATACCTGGTTCATCTTTGATGGTGTAGTCGTGTCGGCGTTTGCCATCTTGGTGTACTCAACGGTACTGTCT